CTCTCTCTCTCTCTCTCTCTCTCTCTCTCTCTCTCTCTCTCTCTCTCTCTCTCTTCCTCTTCCTCTTCCTCTCCTCGCCCCCAAACTTCTCCACTCTGTACGTCTCTTTGTAATACGCGGATCGAAATAAGATTGACACACGTTGAATGCACCCTTAATTGCGTCAATTTGATTTACCCTCGACGCGGCAAGAGATCGGAGAAGCAACTCGGCTAATGTAATCTCTCCGAGCCGAATGTAACGATGCACGAGGCAAACTTTAACAAACTTAATCAAGACGGAAGCTTCTCGATTCAAACCGAACAAACTAGAATGATGACAATCGATACGGCAAAGTCTTATCCAAGATGTCCGGAATGGATGAAAGTAATATAAATTTTAATGACATTTATAATTGAAATAGTAAATTTAAACTTACAGGTCGTTACAGTAAGGATCAATTATGAGAAACAATTATCGTGCTGAATTTATTTTTTCTTTTCTAATGGAAACACAGTGTAATGTTATATCATCAGAAACGTGCGTCTTTGTGATGTTCTAATCAAATAAAGACATAACGATGAAATGCGTATGAAAAACTTAAAGGTGTGATTCCATATATGCTTGAGATGACTCTTGGTTACTTTAAAAAATATCTTTACTTTTTCACCTTAGGGGAACCGTCTTCCGCGAGTTGCACGAGCTCTACCAAAAATACGCGTGCAAGGAATACCTGGAAAATTGGCCGAAGCTGGTCAAATATTGCGGATACAGGTATTATTTAATGCACATTTTATTCAAATATAATTAACAAATGTATTAAAAAGTAAGTAATTAGAAACAAACGTCATTACGCGAACATATATATGTTGAAATTGTTTCTGAAGTGAGTAAAGCATTGTTTAGCAAATTGAAATATTTTGTACCAGAGTTGAGCGTTTGCGTGTAAATCAAGATACTCTTCGTCTGTCAGTTAATAACATAAACTATCTATTAGATGTCGTCCATGTAGACAATGAGTAATCTATAGATGTCGTTTAAGAAATGTATGGTTTGCTCAAAAACTTGTCCTTATGAGAACTTGTTAAGAGAAGTTTATATTTTTATTTGAGTTTTAGAGGAAGAATCCAGATGTAAATTTATAAACGTTATTTTCTAAACAAGTTAAAGTTCAAATTCTTTGGACACATTCTTACACTTCCTCTTCAGAGTTAAATCTACTAATCTGACAAACAATAAAATAAAAATAACAAATTTTCTGCAATATATATATATATATATATATATATATATATATATATATATATATATATAAAAACATTACATTTATAATTATTTAATATTCCCCAAATATAATTTATAATCATAATAAATTTATAACTAATATCGATATAATTTATAATTAATTAATATCTAAATTAACATCTAAATAGTTCTATCTAAATATAATTTATAATTAGTTAACATCCAAAATAATTTCGGTAATTGTCTCATAATTTAATTACTCTTCTTTGTAAATCTTAACATTACGTTCATATGTTCATTTATTTTCAATATTCTATGTAGTTCACATTGTCTATATGAAAAAAGATTGTATATAATAAATATAAAATGTAGATAATCCATAAACAATTCTCAGACATGACAACCGTAGCCTTCAAAGTGCTTTACGTATTTTAACGTTGCCTTAAATATATTTTTACAGACTTATAATTCTAATGAAATGTTTAAATATTGATTTATGGAAATCACATATTAAAATGTCTTCTATTTTGGCATGGCCTTTCAGAGAAGACAATATACCTCAGCTGCAGGATGTGAACATTTTCCTCAAGCGTAAGTAGCATGACAACGCGGTGTGTAAATTGTTGCTATGTTGTTCCGCTGTTTCGTGGGAGTAATAACACAGTGTACCTAACGAAAATCGATATTCACAGGAACAACGGGATTTCAGCTCCGTCCGGTTGCAGGTTATCTCTCACCGCGAGATTTCCTCGCCGGGCTCGCATTCCGAGTGTTCCACTGCACTCAGTACATCCGACATTCTTCCGACCCGTTTTATACTCCGGAACCGTGAGTCTGCAGCATGTACTCTTTTACTCTTAGAGAGACTAACTTCTGAATCTTCCAAAATTAAATCTTCTGAAAAGACTCGAGAAAAAATGTGATTATGTATAATTATATATGATTTATATATAATTATATTAAATTTTATTAAAATATATTAAATGTGATTATATATAATTATATGTGAATTTTGTCTCTCTATATATAGCCATATATAATCATACATATAATTATATATATAATATATATTATATATAATTATATATATTATTACGCGCGATAATGCATCAATCTTCTTTTATTAATAACTCAAAATCGACGTGGTTATTTGCAAAGCGATAGAAGATTTTTTTGTCCAATTTGATCTAATCCAATTATTTATCAATCTTTTTTAATTAATAACTCAAAATTTCACGTGGTTGTTTGCAAAATGGTAAAGAAATTTTGTGTTCCGTTTAATGAATTTTGACAAGTGTGTCATAAATTGTTAGACATTCTGTATGTCATTTTATTATGTATAATATTTTTATTTTCATATAATTATAAAATTATTAATATAACATTATATAATAATAAATATATAAAGTAAAATAATTTTATTTTCACATATAATTATATATAATATTCTTCTCTCGGGACGTTCCATCAATGATAAGAGAAAAGCTTCTAGCTATTTCATCGCGTTATCCGCCCAGACAACACCATCTGCTAAAACACGTCTGCGTGTGTGTGTGTGTGTGTGTGTGTGTGTGTGTGTGTGAAAGACGAGTAAATAACATCTAAATAACATCTAAATAAAATAGAATATCTTTAAGATATCTTTAAGATCTTTGACATCTTTAAGATATCTTTTAGAAATTTGTGCTGTCTGGGCGCACAATCGACGATCTTGCAAAATTGCAGGTGATTCTTCGCGATTTATTTGTTATTATATTGTCAGGGATTGTTGTCATGAACTATTGGGCCACATGCCACTGCTCGCCAATCCGAACTTCGCGCAATTCTCGCAAGAACTCGGTCTGGCTTCTCTCGGTGCATCGGACGACGACATAGACAAACTGGCAACCGTAAGTCTCCGGATGAAAAATATAAAATTGTTCTCGCGTAGATGTAATTTCCTCAATTTATCGCGATTATACCACACCACGCTGTCGTGTATTCCGGAAACTGCGTTCTAACGAGACTAAATCGTTGTTACTCTTTCCTATCTAACTGCGTCTCACACGTCTCTCCTGTTTCTCTTCTATTGTGTTTGCACTGCTTCTATCTTATCTCAGCTCTACTTCTTCACCGTGGAATTCGGATTGTGCAAGCAAGACGGTATGCTTCGCGTTTATGGCGCCGGCTTGCTATCATCGGTAGCAGAATTAAGGCACGCGGTCACCGCTACAGAGAAAACGATGAGATTCGAACCGGACATCACGTGCAAGCAGGAATGTATTATCACTGCGTTTCAAAATGCATATTATTACACCGACAGCATAGAAGAAGCGAAGGAGAAAATGCGGTAATCACCTTGATGATACTTGTATTCTAACAAGTCCCCCCCCTCCTCCCTACACTCTTTTCACGAATTCAAAGAGTAGTTTTACTACTTCTTGGCATATGCCAATATTTGATACATGAAATAAGAAGCTATATAAATCAACAATAATATGACAAATACGTTGCCAGGATTTTCATGTTTTTCTCTTCAAATTTTTTCAGATTTTTCAGGTTTTTCAGCAATAATTTACGATGATACAAATTTAAACTCTATTCAAACATATAAAGTAAAAGTATCAATAACCGAGATGTACCTAATTCTGAACACTCTTTTTGTTTTGGTTTAAATACAAATATTTAAACTGTCAATACACACACATAAAATATATGTACAAGTATTAAATATGTAAATATTAATATTATTATAATATATTCTATGTTGACCCTGGTAAAAAAAGTTGATAGAGAATGATAGAATAAAATTCTAATTTTTCTAATTTCTAATTTTTCTATCGTTTTGAATATGGATTTTGGTCCGTGAATTCACAAATGTGAATAGTATTCTATCGTAAACGATAGAAAACGACAGCTTAAAGAAAACGATTTAAATTGATAGCGCTATCAATTTGAGCTGTATCGTTCTCGCACGCAAGTTCAGATATAAATCCTATCGTATTTTATCGTATTTTATCTGGTTATAAAAGATTTCGTATTCTATAGGAAACTAACGATAGAAATTCTATCACTACCTATTGTATTCTATCGTTTTACGATAGAATACTATTCATATTTGTGAATTCACGAACCAAAATCCATATTCAAAACGATAGAACGATAGAATTTTATTCTATCGTTCTCTATCAACTTTATTTACCAGAGGAAAGTTTAAGTATTTATATTTCAAAACCAGAAGAATAAGAATATCTAGAGTTAGGTATGCGTGTCCGAGAATTGATACCTTTACCGTAAAACATACCTTTACCTTAAAACATACAATAAACATCAAATAACAACATCGATGTTACAATGTCAGCTCAATTATATAGTATTATGTAACTGTTATATGTTATATAACGTCTAACAGTTATATATTATACGATTGATTTACTCGGAATATTAATATCTATATTTTTCACTAGGGCATTCGCTAATCAGATTCAGCGTCCTTTCGCGATACGCTACAATCCGTACACTCAGTCAGTGGAGATACTGACGGACGCGCAGAAGATCACAGCAGTGGTCAGCGAGTTGCGAGGTGATCTCTGTATAGTGTCGAATGCCTTGAAGAAGATTCACGAACAGGACGACACTGTGGACGTCGAGAGGATAACGAGCTTATTGACGCAGGGGATTGAGATGCCGCAGGACAGTTCGACTTCGGACAGTGACGGCCAGGATGAGAGTCCCAACGCCGAGGAGGTGCGTTCTCAGGAGGACACCGATCACCAATTGCGTCGTAACGACGAGGATGCAGTTGCGATGGAAAATTAAGCGACATTGCGCTCTCTCCTTTTTCTCTTTCTGCAGCTACGAATATATGTCCCTGTCGGGTCGCAGAATTAACAGCATTTAGCGAATCATTTCTGCTTCAATTCAGTTTACGTCACATATATAAGCAAAGTGTTACGTAGTATATCTTGTCGATGCATTATGATTGAATGTAAAATAAATGCAAAGATATCCAAATGAATCCAATCACGTTAGCGACATTCAATACCGCATATAAAATTTTTCTAACTCTTACAAAATTAGACAATCTCGATACAAATCTGGAGCAGAATTATTTCTTATCTATTTTGCTTCCAACAAAATAAAAACTCCTTGCGTGCTATATTGATTCGCTTATGACATAAATCTATCACATTTTCAATCGCGAATATTTCTTTAAAAAATCCTAAAAAACTATCCGAGATAGTGCTCTATACGCTAACGCGACATAACTTATAACCTACCATAACATAGCCGACTTTCGGCCTATGCGCAGAATAGGAACCACTGCGTATGCGCAAGAGTCCGAATATACTACTACTAACGGATCTAACGTTATGGGGGCGATTTTGGGAAATTGGAAAATTATATTAAAGGTACTGGGTGTGCTACTGAGGCAACAGAGTCACACAAACACGCGTTGTCACCGCTCAAACGATACAGAACGAAATAAGGATATCTGATGTAATTTTCGAAAATAGACATTTCCAAAAGCGAATGTTTCTTTAAAAATCCCTAAAAAACAATCCAAGATTGTGCTCTTTACACTAACGCGAAATAACTTATAACCTACCATAACATAGCCTACTTTCGGCCTATGCGCTGAATAAGTACCACTGTGCATGCGGGAGAATCCGTATGTGCTACTATGACAAATCTAACGTTATGAGGGTGATTTTGGGATGTTGGTAAAATATTTCCAAGGTACTGGGTGTGCTACAGAGGCACACAAACACGCGTTGTCACCCCGGAAACGATACAGAACGAAATAAGCATATCTAAAGTAATTTTCGAAAATAGATCTTTTCAAGGGCGAATGTTTCTTTAGAATACTCTAAAAAACTATACGAAATAGTGCTCTCTACGCTAACGCGAAATAACTTATAACCTACCATTACATAGCCTACTTTCGGCCTATGCGCTGAATAAGAACGACTGAGCATTCGCGAAAATCCGTAAGTGCTACTATGACAAATCTAACGTTATGAGGGTGATTTTGGGATGTTGGTAAAATATTTCCAAGGTACTGGGTGTGCTACAGAG